ATGTAAAACCATACTGCTGCAAAGCAATTGTTAACTTGGTAAACCAACAACGAGGAGCCTGTTTAAGGCCATACAAAGACCTGTTTAAACGACAAACCAAATCCTGAGTACTAGTGCGAAACCCAGGGGGCAAATTCATGTAAACCTCCTCTTGGAGATCTCCATGAAGAAAAGCATTATGAACATCCATCTGATGAAGCTCCCAGTGGCGAGCAGCAGCAACGGCCAGAAAAGTACGAACAGTAACCATTTTTGGGACCGGAGCAAAAGTCTCAGTGTAGTCAATGCCCTCCACCTGATGATTACCTAAAATCACAAGGCGAGCCTTATATCTTTCAACGGAGCCATCAGAGCGATGCTTAACACGATACCCCCACTTACAACCAATGGCCTTTTTTCTTGGAGGAAGGCGAACCAAAGACCATGTGTTATTGTTTTCAAGCGCCTGAATTTCAAGTTGCATCACAGTTTGCCAATTAGGATCAGTCATGGCCTCAGTAAAAGAGCGAGGCTCAACAGAGGACTGAATCGCAGCCAAGAAAGCTTGATGGGCAGATGAGAATGAAGAACAATTCACATAATAAGCTAAAGGATAAGGAGTACCTGAGGACGGTGGTGAGGCAGGTGAGCAAGTAATGGGGGAGAGATGATAGTGTTGGTGACATGATCGCGAAGCCGAACGGACGGATATTTGGTACGGTGACCTCTGCCAAGAACCTCAGGAGCGGGAGTCGAACCCCCCTGGCTTCAGGAACCTCCGACGGCGAGGGAGAAACAGTAGCTGAGGGAGCGGATGGAGACATATGATCATCATCATTAATAGGCCAAGGAGAAGTAGACATAGCAGGCAAAGAAGGAGATGTAGGAGCAACCATCGCAGAAGAAAAAGGAAACTCATCTTGACAGAACTTAACATCACGAGAAACAAAAAAATCCTTAGTCTCAAGATCATACACTGACCAACCCTTCTTGCCAAACGGATAACCAACAAAGACACAACGACGACTGCGACTAGAGAACTTATCACCTTTGATATCCATATTATAAGCATAACATAAGCAGCCAAACACACGCAAATGATCAAGAGAATGGGAAGTACAAAACAGAACCTCATGGGGACTCTTTCCATGGAGCAGATCAGTGGGTGTACGATTAATTAAATAACCAGCAGTCAAAACACAATGTCCCCAGAACTCGACGGGCAAATTGGCTTGAAAATGCAAAGCACGCGCCACATTGAGAATATGGCGATGTTTGCGTTCAACGCGACCATTTTGCTGAGGAGTACCCACACAGGAAGTTTCATGAATGATACCTTGCTCACGAAAATAAGAACTCATACACAAGAATTCAGTCCCATTATCACTGCGCACAACTTTCACCAACTTATTAAACTGACGATGAACCATGGCAAAGAAAGCAAGTAAGGTAGTAGACACAGAGACTTTATCAGGAAGTAAATAGAGCCACACGGCTCGAGAATAATCATCAACAATAGTCAAGAAATATTGAGCTCCAGAAAAAGAGAGGACACGATAAGGACCCCATAAATCACAATGCACCAAACCAAAAGGTTCCAAAGCACAACTGTCACTAACAGTAAAACTATCTCTAGATGTTTTGCACGCAGACAAACATCACAAGATTTATTGTCAAAGCTACGAAAGGAACTAGGGGCAAGATTACACATCTTTGCAAGAACCTTCGACGATGGACGACCCAGTCGTTGATGCCATAGGTCTGCTGAGCCACAAACTGTTGCCATAACCGCCGCAGACGGGTCCCGAAAGAAGTACAATCCCTTCATTTGCTCACCCAGTCCAATCACCATCCTCGTAGCACGATCCCGTACAACACAATTCAAATTTGTAAAATGGGCAACACACCCCATATCATCCAATAAGTGATACAAAGATATAAGGCTGCATTTTAAACTGGGCACAAGGAGAACATTAAATAGAATCACAGTACGAGTAAGATGAACTGTGCCGGCCTTGGTAGCAAAGGTTAATTGTCCATTAGGAAGCTGCACTGGTGTGTGGCGCCACAATCGTACATCCACAAATGAGAATAAGGTTTACCCGTCAAAGTACTAGAAGCAGCGAAAAACTGAGATTGAACCAAGTTTAGCAAGGCGGACCACTGGTCAAGAGAAATGCCAGTGGTCGCAAGTGAGGTGGCCAAACCGGGTGGAGGAACACTGGCGGCCGAAAAACCCACGGGAAGCACACCCGTAGCGTTGGCCTGCACCGGAGGCATACCACGACCGCGACCTGCAACGGGAGGTACACCACGACCGGCACCAGCAGTGACCGAACCACGTCCTGCAGAAAAGGAAGATGCGCCTGTAGAAGTTTGTTGCCATGAAGCAGGATAACCGAGCAATTCGTAGCACTGTTTTGGATTGTGACCGGTCCGGCTGCAATGAGGGCAAGGAACCACCTTTAAGCATCGACTGGAGTCGTGTCCAGTCCGCCCACAAACACTGCACGAGGCGCCGGAGGGAGTAGCAGGTCGTGTAGGAGCCGGCGGCTTCAATCGAGCAATTGTCGCAAAAGAGTGAACATCGACAACAGTAGAAGATGTAGTCTTACCAATGGTGCCCAAACGTTCCTCTTGCACCATCACAGAATAAACCCGATGGAGATTCGGTAAGGGTTCTTGAGCAAGGATTTGAGATCGAGCAAGCCCAAAAATCTCAGCATCTAGGTTAAGGAGAAATTGATGACATTGTTCATTATCCTTACGATTTTCATGTTCCGCCTCAAGAGGACAAATGCATTTACCACAACCACAAGCCACCGGACGATCATATGCGTACAGTTCATCCCACAATGTACGAAGTTTCCCATAATACGCACTAATAGTCATGCCTTTTTGATATGTGGTAGCTATCTCTCCTTTCAACTGTTGAATTCGAGTACCATTAACCACAGAGAATCGATCACGGATGTGTTGCCATAAGTGTTGAGCAATTTCGATATTGGGAATAGAAGAACGAACCGAAGCATCTATTGTATTCATGATCCAAGAAACGAGCATAAAATTATTGACATACCAATCCGTTAAAAGTGAAGAACCCTCATGTGGTTTAGAAATAGATCCATCCAAGAAACCAAATTTTTTGCGAGCCCATAGCGCCCTCCGGAGAGCCGCAGACCATTCGATATAATTAGTATTGGTA